TCAGGCCTACCTTAACAGGACTCAATATGTTAATCGGCCCAAGGAGTTCTTTCTGTCCTTTAGGACTGAAAAAGCTGTAGGATCAGCCACCCTTGGTAGGTGGTTGAAGTTGGTAATGAAGGAGGCTGGTATAGACACAAGTATCTTTAAGCCTCATTCTCACAGAGGTGCTGCCACCTCTGCTGCCCTTGGTAAGGGAATGTCTTTAACAGAGGTAATCCGCTCAGCAGATTGGTCCTCTGCAGTAACCTTTGAAACGTTTTATCATCGTCCAGTAGAGGACTCTGATATTGGTAGGGCAATACTATCCTCCATGGGACGGTAGTATGGCTCTGAAGGAGAATACCCCAAATTGTTTCCTGTGCTGTAAAGTTGGCGGACCTGGACTTGTGCCAGGGGACCGGAATCTATGCCTTTGGTGTATTGGGGAAGCAGGGTTTCCTGTAGTGTCAACTCCAGGATCTTTTCCTTATTAGGTGAGACTTTTTTACCTCATCTCACATCTTTAAAGTCGCCATATATTCTGGAGATGCGATGGATAATTGATAGTTATCTACTTACCTTTCAGATAACTACAGTTATCCGAGCATCGTAAGAATATATGTCCCACCCCAGTTCTTTCCCATCCCAGTGTTCGCTGAGGTTAACCCTTAGCTCGCTACACATGAGAGAGAACGAAACCGAGGCTGAATGGGGCATTCTGGGTATTCTTTCTTCTATTCTTGACTGTAAAGTGCTGCCGCCTAGCGTCCTAAATGAGAACGCCATATATTCTTACGATGCTCGGATAACTGTAGTTATCTGAAAGGTAAGTAGATAACTATCAATTTTGCATCTTCGATCTAGGTCTCTAAAACATCGCTAATTATGAACGTAACAGACCCTGAGCATCCCAGCGCGGTTCTTCGCGAACTGAACAGTCTGAGGAAGGAGGCAGAACTGACTGACGTGGTTCTGGAGGTGGAGGGGAAGAGGTCAGTCAGTCAGAAATTTTATTTGAGAGGGGGGCTGGCGGGAAACCGCGAAAAACATCATGAATGAATGAAAGACTTTTATTATACAGTTTTGCTCATTGCGAACTAAGTACAGGTCATGGTCATAGCGATGGTAGACTAAAATATATCTATAGTAAAACTACATATGTATAGGTTCTGCTTCTTCTCGCTTCTTAAAGACAGTTGTAAAATGTAAGAACAGATGGAGCTTATACTATAGTACGAGGATAATTTATCGAGTTTCATGAGGAGAGTGAATTTTTCCTTTCTATCTAAAAATCTAAAACTAGGGAAATAATCTTACAATTAAAGATAATCTTTATCTCATTATTACATAGAGTCCACAATAAAATTTTTATTGTGGACTGTACTCTATGATTAAATGACTCTCACGAGTGTGAGTCTCGTCTTCAATCTCATTTAGGTTACAGTAATGACAAATTCTTTGTTGCAGAGGAATGTGGTTGTGTCTACCCTTTTCAACAAGAAGTTTCATGTTGATTTGATTATATGGATGTCATCTGTGCGCGCATCAATTTTCGGACGTCCCCTCTCCCCCCAAAAAAGTTTTCAAAACCAAATAATACTTTAAATTGTACAAAACAGCATAATGAGCAAATATATGCCGAAGGTTGCCAAAAAAAAATATTGGAAAATGATACCAAATTATTATGTCATAGGATGCCAAAATCAAACGAAAACGATGAACGTGTAAAGAAATGAATTTGATTTTGAAGATTAGATTATTCGCCATACTCTGTGTCATTTGTTCAACCTTCATGACCACGTAGGTTTCATAATGAACCTTTTTTTTGCCTTATTATTCGCACGCTCGCACGCTCGCATCAGTTCTGGGGTTCTCATCTACGATGTCATCCATATTATCAAATCAACATGGCCCTAGGTACAGATCTGAAATACCATTTTATTTCTGCCACAAAATTAAAGAGATGAAATACTGGTACATAATTTGTGTCCATAAATTTATTTGCTTTGAAATCGGAACCATTTGTGATCTGAGAACTTTTTAAAAGCATACCTGACGTCGAAGGACGCATTCTTTAAACTTTTTATGCATGTTTCCATTATCATTGCAGACTATGTGCTACTTTGTCAAACTGTTCAGGTACAGGTACACGTAACATTACTTGTACATAATATAAGGCCTGTATCTAAACCTCTGTTACCTGTACCTGATGTTACATTTAGATAATTGCAACACTAAAGATCACAAGAGTACGCTTTTCCACATTAAATGATCGAGAGACTATTTAGTTGACTTAACATAGTTTGTAACATAATTTTTTTATCAGGACTTCCAAACATCCAGTAATGCTAAAAATTGTACAATCCTCAGCAAAACACCTGAGGCAGAAGCAGTAAATTGTTCCGTTGTAGTGTTATTATGTTTACCGAAGGAAAACATATCGTTTTTGCTCAGTTTTCTCTTCTTTTCCAAACATTGACCTGACCAATAACATGATTTGTTGATATCTGTCACCATGGTACTAGTAACTGGTGTTGGGTTACATAATGTTACAATTTTATAGTAGGAGGGAGTTTATACTCCTGTCTGACCATATATATGAATGTATTTGTGTAAATAATTAACAGAGCAGACCTATGCCAAAGTAAACATTATGCATTTGCTTTGCAAATGTTACCTTTCTAATGTTATAATAATTTCTTCCCCAGTTTCCCCTGCCACCGTGCCGTCCTGCAGTCCCTACTTCCGTGCCATGTTCACCAACAGTAATGTTATAATATTGACCTCCCCAGTTTCCCCTGTCACCGTGCCATGTTCACCAGCAGTAATGTTATAATATTGACCTCCCCAGTTTCCCCTGTCACCGTGCCATGTTCACCAGCAGTAATGTTATAATATTGACCTCCCCAGTTTCCCCTGTCACCGTGCTGTCCTGGCCTCCTGCAGTCCGTACTTCCGTGCCATGTTCACCAGCAGCTACGCCGAGGCCAGACAGGACAGGATCACCATCCGGGATGTCAGTGAGGTTGCCATGGCAACCATTTTGGACTACGCCTACACTGGTTGCCTGGAGACGGAGGAAGACCAGGTGCAGGCCGTGATGTCTGCAGCCGGACTACTGCAGGTAAGGCTACACTGACATCAATCAGTGCATGTATTGATTATCGCCTGTTCTCAAAGAAAAAACAAGAATTCGGAGATCTCAGACCTCCATGAAATATATGAGTTTTTGTAAATGTTTTTACACAGTATACTACAGTACAGAACAAAATTTTAAATAACACAGGCTTTTGTTTTCAAACACACAGCTAATACAGTAGCACCTTTTGCCTGAAATAGGTCAGCCTATTCCAGAGGGAGAACCGCTAGTGTTTTGTTGCATAACCGGCACATCTGTTTTCCCTGCCTTACAAAACCAGAAGTTCTGCTGCAGTACCAAGGTCAGCCACCACTAGGCCCATATTTGACCATGACATTTGCCTTCCTAACATCTACCAACATGCCAAATATCATTACAATCCATTAAGGCGTTCTTAAGTTATGCTGACAACAAATGTGCAGACACACACACACAAAACTGATTGGTGCAGAATGGTCTGTTAGTGTGATCATGTTTATTTGCCTCTAGGTGGGTTTTGTATGCCGTCAGGCAGCAGAATACATGAAGGAGCATCTGGATGTGTCTAACTGTGCTGATGTCCTGATGTATGCTGACATGCAGGGGGACTCGGACCTGGTGGAGGACAGTGAGAGATACATCGCATCCAGGTTAGACTTAATAGCTGTTACCTACATTTTGCAATAAGTCCTAGGAAAAAAAGTGGTGTGTTTCCTGTTTCAGTCCTGAAAAAAATTAGGGTCGGTAGGTAGGTACTGTAGGTATCATCTTTTTCTTTTATTTTTAGACTTCAGTGATATCAATAAAGGGGTCCAACTTATACAATACAGTTAAACAAAGTTGGGAATCAGGAAACACAACATTTTTTTCCCTAGAGCTAAGAACTATAATTATTATGTTTACCTTTGCAGAAGGAAATAATATTGTTTTTGCTCTGTTTCTTCTCCATCAAAGAAGGTCAATGACCTGGACTCGACTGCTGTCACCATGGTAACTGGTGCTGTAGCAGACACCCTGGGGGGGGTTTTGTTCATTATGTAGCAAGTTGGAGAGGCTGGTCACCATATGTATGAATGTGCTTGAGCAAGAATAAACAGAGCTCTAGTTTGTTAGTGTGAAGGTAAACATTATGCATTTGTTTTGAAAATGTTACCTTTCTAGTCATGTTCACCGAAGGAAAACATATTGTTTTTGCTACGTTTCTTCATCTTATCCCGTTCCAAACACTGACCTCTGACCTGACCAATGACCTGATTTGTTGACGTCTGTCACCATGGTAACTGGTGTTGGGTTATGTAATGTTGCAATTTTATAGTAGGAGGGATTTATACTCCTGTCTGACCATATATATATATGAATGTATTTGATTAAGAATTAACAGAGCAGACCTTATGCGAAGGTAAACATTATTTTGCAAATGTTACCTTTCTAGTTGATTGCTTTTTTTCTAAACAGGAATAACTTCAGGAAGAAAATGCAATCACAACTTTTGTGTGCTTTAATGTGATTAAACCAATCGCTTGTAAACATGTAACTTTCCCAGGTTCAACGAGGCGGTGCTACAACCCTCCTTTCTCCAGCTGTCTCTGTCCCAGCTCCAGTCTCTGCTAGAAAGTGACGATCTCATCACCCAATCAGAAGACGATGTCGTCCAAGCCGCTCTAAGATGGATCGATTTCAACCAATCAGAGCGCTCGCAGCACCTCCCTGCACTTTGCAAAACACTACACCAACCCTTCATCAGCTCAAAACAGCGTGAAGAAATGGAGAGTAGGCATCTGTCGTCATCTGGCGGTACCTTAGTCTACAGCGAAAACACAACCCAACGGCTGGGGCAGAAGCGAACCGAAATGCAGATCATCCTAAAATGTTATTTCGACGACATTGATGGCCACCCGTATGTTCCTTGCTACAACCCTGCCACAGGCGCAGCGTATGCTATTGATCTACCTAAAGGCATACCCAGAGATTACTCTATGC